CCCAGAGGGCGAGATGCCATATGGCAGGAGGTTAACCTGGCTGGAAACGCCTGACAGTCTGGCAGCCTGCTTCTCGCCGCCCTGTCTCCCCGCCTCCTCCATTGGACAGCGCAGTGCGTTTGGCTCTAAGGCAATAAGCGGGTTCGTGCATTTTTCTGGGAAACAGTTCATAGTTATCAGATATTCAAAGGTCAATTTATTTTTTTAATAGCTAGAACTCACTCTCCTGCTTTCTGAAAGACCCCAACTTAGACCAATTTTTCACATCGAATGATAGAGGGTAGAGAAACTAGTGGACGGTAACTTAATCTTCAAGTGAGATTTATCAAAATACTTGACAGTCAAATAACTCACGGATTAAAAGATCTCTAAATTTCAGTCACAAGAACTCTACTTTCCTTTCAGTGCATTCAAAGAAGTACTCATTCCAACTTCCAGTAAATCTTTTCCGTAAACATTGAGGCTAAATAAAGAGAACGACCATTGGCTGAGAGCTAGAAGCATTGTTAATAGAAATGACTGGTTTTGCAAATGGAAACTAACATTAGCAATACATTGAAATAATACAAAAGACTTTTCTGTTCTATTTTTAATTATATTTTACATTTACCCATCTTGTATAAACACGGAAGTAATATAAACAATTTAATAAGCTTGTAAATCCCTATAAACTGGGATTTGTACAAGTCAAGTTTTACAGGTACTAAGAATAGTGAATTATTCATTTGGAATTTAGATAGCTGTAATACATTCATCATTTCATTTTAGTCCTAATCCCACATCGCTATACACAGCCTCCAAATGTGTTTCCTTTCTAGTGTAAAATTTTTTAAATGGTCAAATATCTTCCTGTAAAAAGTTATTATGCATTTAATATTTAGATTAAATAGTTTAATTATTTAATTCAATTTTGTTTATTCATTTATTTGTTTTAATTTGACCAGTGAGGGACAGTGAGAGAGAGAGAGAGAAAGTGAGAAAGCAAGCTGCCAGGTCCAGGACTCAAACCGTAGCGCCCTTAACCACCATGCCACCTGCTGGCCTCAATATTTAGATTAAAATGTAACACCAGAATGATGAAAATAGAAAAATCACCATTTGGCAAACACTACAGCAAAAACTGTTATAGTTAAGAACCATGACTGCTGAAAGTTCTGTGGGTGTCATGAGGATATGAATCCTATGACTAAATACAAAGAGAAAAATCACAGCTGGGCAAACCTGGCAGACACCACCTGAATCAAGTGATCAGAGTTAGCATCACCAGTGAGACGACACTGACTCCATGTGCCTCCGGATCTGATGGACTGAGACGGCACACCCTTGCTTCTGTGGTATTCTTGCCAACAAGGAATGACCTGAACTTACTGATAAGAGAATCCTAGACAACCTGAATTAAAGGCCATTCCACAAAACAATTAGTACTGCAAAAATTACAGCAAAAAAAAAAAAAAACTGTCACAGATTAGAAGAAACTAAATAGACACGCCAACTAAAATGTATTCTAAGGTGCTGAATTGAGTCCTGAACAAGAAGAAAAGGACATGCTTGTATACTTGTAACTTTGCATATCTATAGATATTTAGTAAGGGTCATGCCACTTTAAGACTAGTTATGATCCTTGTGCTATGGTTACAAACAATGTTACTATTTGGGGAAGCTGAGTAAAGGAATTGAACAGAATTCTTTGTACTATTTTTGTAACTTTTTTCTAAGTTTCAAATTATTTCACAATAAATAAAAAAGTAAAAAGTTTCCATTTAACATCATGTGATGTTCTAATAGAAACATTATGGTACAAGTGTTTAGGAAGAAATGAAACATCCTATAAGCATTTTATGTTCATTTTGTCAAGAATGGTTTAGTAGCAATGTCTAAATGTTCACTGTGCCTCTGAGTAATTTACTGTCTATAAAATGTTTCCTCTTTGACAGTGAGTTTTGCTGGGAAGATAAAGAGAAGGGCTGTGAGGAACACTCCTCAGCAAAGTCCATTTGGAGGAATTTTTGAGTAAAAGGTGATCAGGTGGCGTGTGAGGAGGAGAAAAGTATAGATGAATTCTTGCTTAACTCAAATGTAGGGGGCTCTGAGAGCAGGAGGTAGTCCCTACCAATGAGAAGCAAGTGGGTCTCCAAGCTTCCCAATTGCAGATCCTTTCTGTTCTCAATGCCCTAAATGCATTCGCGTCGTAAGTAACATTGTTAAAGGTCTCCCTTCAACCCCTCTGGCAGCCTTCTGCCCCCAGAGCTCGCTCAGACCTTCCTCTTCGCATTTACCCACACGCGTGTGCACACACAGCTCGGCCCTGGGAACCGTCCCACAAAAATGGCATCGCGTTATACTTATCGTTTTGCAACTTTTTCTCTGGATTCAATTGTCTTTCCAGAAACGCGATCCGACCAGCTCCCCATCCCCAGCTCCAACCGCCGTTCCCCCGCCCCTGGGGTCGGCGGCCCCTCCCGCCGCCCTCCCG